ACAGCGCGTTCTTGCTCCCCACTCTCCATCTGTCTCAAATTTGGCTGCTSTCTCCCGTTTTCATCTGCTCCATGGTTTGTCTGCTCTGGCTGATCTTCGCTTCCTTTCTCTGGTTTGGAACACCTCCCTCCTCCCCAGTTTGCTCAAGTTCTCTTGCACAGAATTGTGGAATATCCTGGCTTGGAAGGGACCCACAGGGGTCATCAGATTCCAGCTCCTGACCTTTTTTGGGGTCTTCTCATGGATTTTTGGGGATTTCTCATGTTTTTTTGGAGGATTTCTCTTTTTTTTTTGTGTTTTCTCATCGTTTCATGGAGTCACTTTGGGGATCCCAGTCTTTGTGCTGTCTCTGTTTTTTGGGAAAYTCCAAAAGCTTTTGTCCTGCTWTCAATTTTCCTCTGYYRGGGGAAGGTCTGAGTTCTCTCCTGYGATGTTTTCATGGTTATTTTGTTTATGTCTCAGCCTCCCGAGGCTGCAGCTGCTCTCGGTGCCACCCGAGGTCTGTTCCCGAGCCGTGTGTGGTGTCTGGAGCCYGCAGACGGGCAGGTGTGACAGACGAGAGCTGTCACCCGCTGTCACCTCCCCGCCGCCAGCGCCCAAGGTCAGAGCTGAACATCTGAATCCCAATCACGGGAACGATCCCAAACCTGGGACAACACCGTGGGTTGTGTTAAAAAAGCAAAGTTAAAACCTAAATAACGTTGCCCACGAGTGGTTTCGTGGTGTCATTTTTATCTTTTTTCTCAAAGGTGGAAGGGAGAACACCTTTGTGTTTTTTGCACGTGTGTGAATGCACCAAAAAGCAGTGAATTTCCTCCTGCTGGGTGTTTTTGAGTGAGGATAATGGTTTTTAGTGCCTCTCCTGAAAGGGAATTTTTAGACATCTGAAGGACCTGGTTGACTCTGTGCTCGTTACCAGAACAAAAAGAACAGCCCTCTCCTCTGTGTGTTTGGAAAACAAAAATCTGCTCCAGGCTGGAGCCATTCTAACGTGCCACAGTTGGGCTCTCCAGCACCAGGGGTTATCTTCAGTTTTTTGGGGTCTTCTGCTGTTTTTTGGGGGTCTCTGGGTGGTTTTATGGGGTTTTTCTTGGGTCCCCTATGGTGCTCTGGGGGAAGTTGGAGAGGCTTCTCCTTCCCCGGGTTGGGATGATGAAGATTTGCTCAGTGGTGAGGGAAGAGCTGGAGTTCTGAGTGGGTCGGTGGGATGGGCACGTGGGCTTGGGCTGAGTGGGCACTGGGGGGCTCAAAAAATGGGAAAAACCTTAAAAAACCTTCAAAAAACCTTCGAAAAACCATCAAAAAACCTTCCAAAAGGCATGTTTGGTGGCTGCCTGGCTTTTGTCTCGGTGGATTGCTGGTGCTGTGGGCGAGGGGCCCTTTCAGGCAGGCTCCTGAGTGAGTGGGTTGGTTTTTCTGTGCAGCTCATTGTCGAGGTGCCTTTCTGGGGGTGGCAGGAGCGGGGGGCAGGAGGGGAAGCGCAGGGGGGGATTTTTGTTATCCACAGGAGGCAGCAGGGTCCTTGCTGTGGGGCTGGAGTGAGGGGAAAGGGCTGGGTGGGGTCGGGAGGAGGCAGAGGCAGCGCTGTGGCCACTTTTAGGACAGAGGGACGCAGGGACAGAGGGATGGAGGGACAATGGGACACAGGGACAGAGGGATGGAGGGACAATGAGACACAGGGACAGCTGGGACAGTGGGACTGCATGCTTCACTTCGAGCTGGCCCCGGCGTGGTGGAGCTGTGGGGATGCCACATGGCATGGAGGGGTTGGCTGTGGTTTTGGTCACCAGCTCCCTGGATCACCAGCACCTTGGGTGGTCCTCTGCATCTCCAACACCTCGGATCACCAGCACCTTGGGTAGCCAGTCTTCTGGATCTCCAGCACCTTCGGGTCCTCAGCACCTTGGGTGGTCAGCTCTGTGGATCTCCAGCATCTTGGATGGTCAGTGCTCTGGATCTCCAGCACCTTTGGGTCACCAGCACTTCGGATCATCACCGCCCTGGAACACCAAGCACCTTGGATGGTCAGCACCTTGGATGGTCACCATGCTGGATCACGATCTCCTTGGATGGTCAGCACCCTGGATCTCTAGCACCTCAGTTCTCCAACACTTTGGATCATCATCACCCTGGGTCACCAGCACCTCAGATCATCAGTGCTTTGGATCTCCAGCACCCTGGATCACCCAGGATCTCCAGAACCCTGCATCTTCAGCACCTTGGATCACCCAGGATCTCCAGAACCCTGCATCTCCAACACTTTGGACCACCAGCACCCTGGATCATCAGCACTTTGGATCATCATCACCACCCTGGATCACCAACACCTCAGATCATCAGCACTTTCGATCTCCAGCACCGTGGATTTCCAGCACTGTGGATCTCCAGCACCCAGGATCTCCAGATATCCAGCACCCAGGAATTCCAGCACCCAGGAATTCCAGCACCCAGGACATCCAGCCCCTCTCCTGTGCCAGCCCTGGCTCTCTCCTCCCCAGAGAGGAGAAGGTTTCTCAGCTCTCAGAGTGGGCACTGACGAGCACCGCGGTGTCTGGAGCTGCAGCAGTGGAGAGCACGGAGCAGGGAGGGATCAAATCTACAGCTTAGAGGCTGGGGCAGGTTTAAAATCAACAATTTAGCTCTGATTTTCACCCATTTTCCAAGCGAGTGGTGAAGGAATAGTCAGAGTTTTTGCTTGGTTCCTTGTGTCTCTCACTGTCCAAAAAGAATTATTTTCCCTAGGAATTGCAGGGGGCTCAGGAAAAACCCCATTCCCAGGCAGCTCAGCTTCCCCMTCACCATCCACTGAGACACCACAGGACCCCAAAAAAGAGATGCTGAGCAAKAACTCCCAGGTTTTTGGGAGCCCCATCCCTTTTTTCAGCACTGAAACAGAACCTTGTTTTTCTCCTCGGCTGCGCTCTCATCGCTCTGCCTGTGCCCGCTCAAATGGATGCGTGACATTAAGGTTTATTAGGGGCTTTTATTTTAGGAAATGAGCTTGCATCGATAAAACATTCTTAAAAGCCCTGGATGTTTTTAGCTGTGTACCTTCAGCATCGACTCCTTCAGATATCGAGCGGAGGTGAAGGCAGGAAGGAAGTCGGGGGCACGGCTGGCTTTTATATTTGAGCCTGGAGGAAAATTCGGGTTTTACCTTTCTCCTCCAGCGGGGCTTGCTCGATAACCTTTAGCTGTAACATTGCAGGGACGACTGTGACCTCTAAATATAGATTTGGGTATTTATAAACTGCTTTGTACACACGGCGTTGGGAGCGGGGACGCAAACGGCTCCGGCGAATTGTGTTTACCTCCAGCGTGGAAACAAATGCTTGATTGCATCACATGAGCTTTATTTATAAAAGTAATTTATAAATTTAAAAAAAAAAAAATTTATAGGAGTATATGCTGCTGCCCACACCGGGAAGGGGAGAAGGTTTCCTTTTGTTTTTTGACCCCTAAAAAACCCTGGAGATTTCTCCCCAATGCCCGTTTGCCCTCCTGTCAAGCCCTGGGGGAGGCTGTTTTTGTCTTATTTTAAAGGCTCTGGAGTGTGTGTAGATAAATATCCACATTTCGGGGGTCACGTGCTCAGCTTTTCTTGCAGAAAACAGACGGCAACTTTATGATCTGAGTGATTTTATTCGAACACAGCTGCGGCCTCGTGATTTAAATATTTCAATAAATTTGAAGCTAACTAGATGAGAGGGAGCTGTGYGAGGAAAACGGGTTGGAGCGTGGAAGGAGGACTCCCAGCGGGTGAGGGATCTGCACA